CTACCCATTTTCCTGCTTCCTTCTGCCCCCAACTTCAGCTTTCCCTCCTTCCCTTGCCTAGTGCACATGAAGTGTTTTAAAATAAAATAAATAAATAGCAGCCTCTCCCTCTGCCTCCCTGGCAGAGTAACGCAGTGGCTTCTGCCACCGAGTTCAGCCTTTGCACGCATAATGAATCTCTGGTGGTCACCACCAGGCCTGTTCTCAGCAAGTCCTTCTTCATCGGGGCATAAGAGGAAAAGGGGTCAGGGCCGTTTCCAGAGCTGTTTTGGCCTCCAAGTCCACTCCTGCCCCCCTCCCCGCAGCTTTGCTTTAAAGTAGCCAAGGCTTGGAAGGCTAGTAATATTTTTGTGGTTGCCTAGCAGCCCTGAAGATGGCCATGAGATGACAGACTGTGGTCTCAGTGGGCATACTCTAATTAAAGTTACAGGTGTTTCAATTGTTTGGGGGACTTTTAATCCCCCATTTAATTTTTTTTTTAAGATTTCAAAATTTTCAGCAAACCTGAGACTTCTTTCAGGTGTGTAGAGAAATGTGTGTCCTTGGCTCCATTTCATGGATTTTTTGATCCACATTCTATGGCCCTGTTCAAAATTAGATATGATATAAATAACATGTAGCTTTCCACCAAATTCTTCTTTTAGCTAGACTAGATTGTACAACTATCTGGAAGGCTGTAGCAAAAATCAGGTTAAGTCCTCAGTTGAAAGGATCTCAGGATGTGATCCCCAATGTGGCTCTCATTGGCACCGTAGTGCCCACCAATGTGTGTTTCCAAGTGTGTACTTGTTTCTTCCCTGAAGCATTTCTTCCCTAAAGTAGATTCAGGAGGGTAGCCGCTTTGGTCTGAAGCAGCAGAACAAACATAAAGGTCCAGTGGCACCTTTAAGACCAACAAAGTTTTATTCTGGGTATAAGCTTTTGTGTATACACACACACACTTCTTCAGATATTGGTTTCTTATCTCACTACACATACTAACATCATTCAGTTCTCACATCTGTTGTAAACTCCTTTATTATGCTGTATGCTAATTTGCTGCTATTCACAGGTCTTAACAATCACCTTCATCCAGTCAGCTATATTTACTGCTCAGTTACTTTTGTATATTGACTCTAATTGGCCCTTCCCAGCATCACCCTTCTCACCCTCTACCTATATGTAATGGTTGGTGACTTCCGTTTCAATGTATCTGAAGATGTGTGCGTGCATAGGAAAGCTGATACTAAAAATAAAACTTTGTTGGTCTTAAAGGTCCCCACTGGACTCAAAAGTTTGTTCCCTAAAGTAGTGAGCCAGTCTTCGCTTTCCTCTGCTTTCACTGGAGCAGGAAGTGCTTCAGAAATAACACAGACGCATCACCCTTGGGTGTGCACAGAGAACCCATTCAGAAGCAATGGCTTCCATCATAGGAGCATGCTTGGCTTAGAGTATCCCAATGTTTTGAATTCAACTGCATCTCCCATGGCAGTTGTTTCGCAGTGGTACCCACTACCCTTTCTCAAGTCTGAAAGCGTCCGAAAGCTCAAAAAGGTTTTGGGACCTCCCACTGACTCTTTCTTACAGGGATCACCTATATGCCTTTGGGCCTTCCCAGTTTTTTGTCCCCTCCCCACCCTATGAATCCAGGGTGATCCCCTTTTGACTAGGTGGTTTGTTTGATGAGGCTTTCCACCCATTTTACAGAGGCTGAAAACCACTTCATTCCCCATGTCATACCAATCACAAAACTCTCTGTAATTCTACAATTTTGTACTTAACCAACAATCACAGAAAAGCAAAAGGGGAGGGGCTGTGGCTCAGTGGAAGAGCCTTTGCTTTGGGTGCAGAAAGTCCCAGGTTTAATCCCTGGCCTCTCCAGGTAAAAATGACTAGTCAATAGGTAAAGTGAAAGACCTCCACCTGAGACCCTGGAGAGAAACTGCCAGTCTAAGGACCAATGATCTGATTTGGTATAAGGCAGCTTTATGTGTGTTCATGTACACAGAATTCATGTGGTGAGGATATCAGGCAACTATTCTGGGAAAGTTGCTGCCTGAGGTTTTGGAGTCCCATTAGAAGGCAATACTAAACTAGTCTGACTTGATATAAGGTAGCTCTATTTGTTTTCTGTATGTAAGACTAGCTGACTGACTCCTAGCACTGGCATCTACTTGATAACTGGTAATTTTAGGTAGTTTAACTGCTATATTTTAAGTATCCAAGCCTATCAATAAATTCCAATTAAATTGATTAAAGATGAACACTTATACTATCTCTGAAAATAAATCAACTTGATTAAGCACACGTTCTCACATGGCTGTGTTTATTTTTCTCCATTAGTATTTTCGGTAAAGTGTGATTTTTGGTATTAGGGATTTTTTTTTTAAAGCCCAACATGTCAGCCCTTCTAGTCTCCACTCCTCACGACAACACAGTTTTGAAAAAAAAACAAGCACATAATTGCCAGATTCTAAGAGCTGTTGCAGAGTATTTTGTAAGTTCAAGCTTAAGGATCCAAGTGCAAGTCAAAGAGCCAAGAAGGGCAGGAATCTCTGACAGACAGAATCAAACACAGGTCTATTCTATTTGCCAAGCACTTTAACCCTCCTCCCCAACATACTTCTTGGCTTCCTAACAGATTAACCAAAACAGCAAAGCAGTGCTATGAAAGTCAGGTGTCATTCCCCCCCCCCCCCAACACACA